TTTTTCTTTTCATGACTGTATTACAGAGGCTGTTCACACATTTTTTAGACGATGTATATTGTATTCACAAAACTAAATTACATAAAATTCTTGTGTTTTAAATGTTCTATTTGACATTCCTTATTCTGAACTATATTTCGACATGGCAATTTCTAGGATAATAATGCCTTTTGAAGTGGCAGAAGAGATATTCTATTCCATTCATCCGAAACAGCTTTCCGGAGTCCTGTTAGGGTTTTGGGACAACGTTTGGATAATGCAGTTTTTAAAAGTCCGAAAGCACAAAAATCCATAGGTGACAACATCGGAAGATTTAGTAGGGATATCATTGAGGGGTATGACATTGATACCAGTTTTTTGTTCCATTTCGTTTAGGAAATTTACAGTGGATTTTGATGTGTGACTGCTAGCTTTGTCCTGATGGAGTCTCACAGATTGATGGCACTGTGGGTAAAGCGATAGTATTTCATTCAGAAAAATTGGCGATAAAATATGTCTGATAGTATTTGGAGTTAATCTTGACCTTTTTTGCACTCTCTTTATTTTTAACTTGCCATTATAAGAAAAACCAACAACAATCATGAATCCCTTAGAAAAACTTTCTTTCGATTTTATGAACCACGTACTTAAATTTTTTCCTTCCCTTTTTATGATCCCCCCGGGGGTCGACGTAGAGAACTCTGCGAAGCTACTGGCTAGGATCTGTACCTAGGCAGTCTCGGCCACGGGGGATAAAATTTATGAACTTGGTGGTTCTGAAGCCCCCGGTAAAGGTCATTTATTGGCCGGCCTCGGGGACTGGCATGTCCTGAGCGGTGTGGAACCGTAGCCAGAGGGCTTGGTTCCCCTCGGTTTGCTGGGTAACGGCCCACTGCGACGGGCTCGCCCATGCGACTGGTAGGAGCATTAGACGACAGATGCTGCCTGGTGAATTCCAGGTGGTGCGCTGTTTCCCTAGAGGGTGATAGTGGAGGTTGAACCTCCATGACGTGCCCAAAGGGGGAGTAGACCTGTAGTGTGATTTGGTTCACGGGGCAGGAAAGCCTAAATTCTGTTCTGTTTTCCTTTTATGATAATAAATGGCTCTTTTTTTTGTTAGAATCATTTAAATACACCCATCCTTCAACTATTGTGACAATTGTTTTCCATTTTTCTTAGGATAAGTGTTTCTCATATAGAATTCTGCAGCGTGTCCTGCGTTGAGCGATATGCTTTGGAAGAAAACGATGCACATTGCGTTTTTTCGCTTTCTTAAGATTTAAATCAACGTTTATCATTTTCTTTACAGTGGACACCGAGCATTTTAATGATTTTGCAACTGTCCTTTGACTAGGGGGATTTTCCTTTAACATTAAACAACATACCTTTGCAATAGTCGAAGATGTCCGTTTTTTCCTTGGATACTTGTTTGGGATTTTTGTCCCACTTGAGGCTCCAATTTGACGTTTTTTTCCTTTCTTGTTGATGATACTACCTATCGCCGCTTTAGATATCACAAAACCATAACTCTCACATCGTTTTTGGATAACGCAGTATGCATATTTCTCTTCGGAAAGAGCGTAAATGTAGCATTCGAACCACTGCTTCATTAAATTCGCCATTTTGAATAAAACCAAACCTTTCAAGCTACAGACGATAATTTTGACTTTTAAAATAGTACAATTGCAATTAACTTCTTTTGCAGCAAACGATTCTTTATTACCGCTTACCAAAATCGTCTAAAAAATGTGCGAACAGCCTCTGTATATCTTGCCGTATTGTATTAAATTGCTTTAAACTAATAACTCTGTTTAGTTTAAAAATTTAATTTGATTTCATAAACGTTTTATATAAAATATATAAAATGTTTTTGTTTGCATTTTTATATAAATACACCGTTACACATGACTTATTATTAGTGACTTATTATTATAGTGATTGTTTAAGAGAATAAGGTGCTGACAAGATTTCAAAGTAATTCCATTTTCCATTCAGATTTCATAAAAATGTGAATTTCCTGCTTGTATGAGTAATTTCTCTTGACTAGCCGATTAAACTTTCAAAAAGGTTTTACGAATCATGGAAATATTGTACCTGCATAATTTTAAAATTGGTAATATAATTTCTGCTATATCATAAGCTTAGCCCCAGTTCTCTTTGATATTGACATAATTTTCCAACTAACGATATGTAATTTCTTTATATCTCATACTTGTAAATAAATAACTATATATATTAAAAGCAACCTTTATTAAGTATACAAAAGGTAAACAGATTTATTATGCTAAATGAATTTAATACAAGTATAATACGGGAAGATAAAATACAGTCATTATAAATAAGGTTTTGATCAACATAAAGAAAAATATGTTTTGACGGCGAAACGTCCTAGACACCCACCACGATGTTTTGTACTGCGATATTTTTGGCCGCGATGTTTTCGGTGTTCACTGTCCGTCTTCTGTACATTTCGCAGTGTGCGTTTAAGATATTAAAGAAAATCGAAGTCTCTGATGACTGAAATATGGTCAGTCATCTGGTTAGTATCAAGGACAGAAAAACTGTCTTTCCGGTACGTGTAGTGTACGGTGAGAATGTAATGAGTGACAATAAAGTGCGAAAATGTCTGAAATAGCTCAAGGAATATTAGAAAAATGACCTTGAGAAACCGACCTCTGGTTGCTCACCTGTAATCATTAAAATGTTCGGCCAGGCAGTTGAGATCCGTGTTCAGAAAAGAGGAGATCTGAGCAAATGATATGCGAAACGAAAACCATCGATGTAGAAGTGCAAACGATCTTGAGTCGATGTCAGAACTCTATCAGACGAGGATATCCAATACCTCCTTTATGTTGCGAGAAATGTTTAAACTCACAATGAAGTTAGACACGAAAATAGAAAATTGTGTTAATTTAGAAAATGAACTTTTCTTTTTAAAATATTTCAGTTGTTTGTTTTTAATGCAAAACGTGTTTTCTTAAAATATAGTCCTCTATAAATTTTAACTTTAATTCTCGTAGGTTAAAACGTCCAGCTCTGCAAACTGTTTGTTATTTCTCAAGCGAAATAAAAATTGTTCTGTAACGTTTATGTGATAAATTTGCGAAAACATTCGGGAAGGAATAGTTGACTTAATTTGCTTTTCAATTGTTTGCCTATTGCTAAATGATTAAATAAGGTTTTGATCAACATAAAGAAGAAGCAACAGAATGAAAGCATTTACAGATTTAGATCATGTTTTAAGGCCTGTTAGTAAGCAATTTAGAAAACATAATTAGAAACAATAATTCTGAAACTGGGTCAAACAATATTCATCTATAACTATGTATCTAGCTCTCTGTAACGATTCATTACTAATACATCACTAATTTCTCCCTACAGATGGAAATTTTTATGTCTGACTTTTTAAAACATAAGGACCATTTTTGCATTTGGAAATTTTGCTCAACAACAGGTATATAAAGCATTACGTGTTTGCATTTTTAGAATCCTTCCAACACTAATGGTTTTATTTCTATTTCATCATGTATCCAGAGACATTATTAGAAAAATAATGCTCTAGTTTTAGCAAATATACATTATGAACTCAGTTTAAAATTATTTTGGTTAAAATAAAACATGCGACATTTCTAATTAGCCATTTTTAAAACTGTATAACGGACTCAATGTATATAGCAATATATACGATTGAATACAGCTACGTTAACTCTGTTGAATTCACAAAACAAGCCTCACTGTTCCAGTACGACCATTTAGAGATTTCCTGAGAGCCTTGCTGCCATATATACTTTCCCTTACGCGATGTAGAAAATCGCACGAAACATTTACAATCTCTTGATTAATTACACCTTTGAGCTTGTTAAATCACTTCAGGTGTAATTAAAATTTTGCATTCCGTAGATAACTTATCTTTCAGCTTGACAACATTCAGCGGTTCTCATACAATTCCTCTGCTTTCCTGTAACAGACTTTTTATGAGGGTATTTGAAAGTTCGAGTTTTGATTCATACTTTATCTGATAATAACAATCTTCGAAATTCGATTTTTCAGGAGACTGCGTGTCACCCTGGCCGCTCTCTATCGGGTAGTGTACCTAGGAGATGGATGCAATTCATTGTCATAAAACCTGGTCGATTAGCCAGTGATACCATGCCTGAACACCTCTTAGTCAGAATTCTGCCTAATCACTGGAACGATACTTTTGTGCGTTGCGAATCCGTGGGCTATTTTAAACGAAGCCTAAGCCTACTCTATATAGAAAAGACTATGCTGACAACAAGGACTATTCAACTCGGTGCAATCCAGAGGCCTTTATGTCTACGAGTCCCTGCTTCGAAATTTGTACCGTGAAGGGGAAACGTCCTGGAGCCAGATGGCTTAAGTGTACTTATTGATCTCGGTACTGTAAGTAGTAGGCCCCTCTGTAGGGTGGAGGGGCGGTAACGTACTTTGTTCAAGGGCAAAGGTCTACTGGACCGAAACGTTACCGAGACTGGTCATGTCGGTGCCACAACGGCATGAGTGAGCAGTCCTAATAAATAATCTGTTGCATTCGCAATACAATCCAGCCTTGGAGGATGGAGTTAAATGCAGGAATGAGCCGCAGTGACGTCATTACGTTGGGTCTCGAGCTGTGTGATTGCTACATTTTCTCAACCGGTGAGGCTTCAGACAATGAACTGAAAACTGGCTAATCCAATACTCCTGCTGTAGGCAGTGCAGCAGCTATCATTCTGTGATCTAATGAGATTCTTGCAGAATGCGGATGTTATGCAAATCGCCCAACATTGCTTCATAGCTAGTGTACCTATTGCCTTTATTGTCATAAATATATGCGAAGAATTCAGAATGAAAGTGTGAGGCATGTTTTATAATATGAGACACTGATTTAGTTACCTGTATTCAACTATATTCATTGTTGTATACAAGAAAGGCCTTTTGCTCCTTTGAAAATGATTAATGTTCAATGCCGCTTCTGTTCTAAAATAAAATAAAGCATTTAATTTTTTTTTAATTTGCAGTTGAATGGAAAAAATTGGAATATAGAGGAAGGATCAGGTGAGGGATCTGGAGATGTAATGGGAGAATCTTTCATACCAGTCGATCAGACTACAGGTAATTTGTATGTCTTATATACTTCTTGCTTAAAGTGATGCGTCCCGAAACTCTACCAAATAAATGTTTCTAATTGTTTATAGAATATACGCAAAATAATTTTAAGAACGTCGAACCTTTTGGTATTGAGTAAAAACTGTGGTAATGTTTTACAATCATAATGACATATTAAATTTCCAAAAAATCAAAAGTAGCAACTAAACATCGATTGAACAGTACCTATGAAAACTTATTTTGTGTGAGAAACTACGATTGATTTTTCCATATCAGGGAGGAGAAGAAAATAATGTTACTATTTATTTAGATTTTGGAAAAGCTCCCGAGAGCTCTCTGCTTAAAGGAAGAAATGCCATCATAGAGCACGTTTTAAGGGAAACTATCTCGTATTCACGTTACACATGAAGAAAGCCACGATAATTGCTGTGAAGTCAAACTATTCTTCTAGATCTGAACGAGATGAATTCGCTTCGAAAATTTTTTTCTTTAATAAGAATTAGTTTGTATAATATTACTATTATCTATTTTACTCTAGAAAATTTTCCACTAAAGCATTTCTTCCTTTAAGTAGTTAACTCTTCAGAGCTTTTCCGAAACCGAGTAAATAAGTTTATAATTTTTGCACGTTTCTTAGTCAAAGTTTGTTTTAGCAAATAGTTATTTGTTGCTTGAAAGGAGCTTACCTCATTTAGAAAATTAATATTTAAATGTTCTACTGGGAGATTTGGCAAAAATTAATCTTACTTTTGAAAGTCTTAGAAGTGTGAGTTAACCAGAAAGTCAGCTTTTCCCCTGGCTATTAATTAACAACCAATTCTTTATTCGAATCTAAATTTTAATTAAAAAATTTAAGGCAGCACCGCAGAAAATTCGGCATCTTTTCTTTTTCAGAAGAAATAATTCAGAATACTCAGTTGTAAATTAATTAGTTTGATTTTAGTAATTTGAAACTTCCGATACAATGTTATGAAAATTCAATCAATTAATGAAATTCGTCATACTGGAAAATACAAGAGGAAACAATAAACTTCGGGATACTTCGACAATTATTTGATTTATTGTAATGTAAAGGCTTTAAAGTAAGTACTAGAATTTGGAGAATAATAACGTATTAATTCGTTTTCATTTTCTCTCGTAGAAACATTTTCAATTAGGAGCATAACCCTGGCATTAAGAGTAGCTTTGTATAGGAAGTTGAATTCTAAGTTGCTTCAACTAAACTAGTCTAACCTTTAAACCTGCAAGATGTATTTTCATCCTTTCTTGTACTAAAACTCAGAAGGCAAAAATAAACACTACAGTAATATGAAATTAAACAACTAAAATACATTGGTACTTGAGGTATGAATTAAAATTATGAAACAAAAATTTCCTTTCACTTTTTCCAGGAATAGCAGGACAGCACACAAGGTCATATTATTAAAATTGTATTTAAATTCTGTCCCAGCATCTAAATTTCCAAGCTAATTAGCTAATAAGTAACAGTCAGCTAACGACTTTAAGCTTGTATCAGCTACTACAACACAAAGGAGATTTTTTTAAGTTGACTACCTGATCAGTTTCTCTTCCTTCTTAATTTGGGTTTATATCTATTTAAAAAACTTAAAACTGTTTAAAATTTTTTAACTCTCATTATTCTCGCGGGCCCATCAGCGGCCGAGCGGTAAAGTCGCTGAACACTGGTAGTTCGGTCTGAGGTTCGAATCCCGCGAACGGGCTGGCTGCATGGGCGTTTTCGTGGTTTTCCTCATGTGTAACGTGTATACGAGCCAGTTTTCCTTAGAAAGTCCTCCACGAAGGCATCCCTCCCCTTAGGCAGATAGCCCTCGAAGCTTTGCCATAATCACACACACACACATTATTCTCGCAGAAGCAAATGAAACTGTAGTAGTATAGAAGAGATTTTGACATATGCAAAAACATGTTAGTTAAACCTTGCAAATATTGCTGAGTAAAACATTTACAAATAACTTTTAATTGCAAATTTAAGTTAGTGTTGTTAAATTTTACTAGAACTATATGAGTTGAGTGATAAGCTAAAAAAAGCAATTTTAAGAAGAATTTCATTAATCATTCTGTTTAGTAATCAACAGTTACTACGGTCAGTTACTCGCAACTGCTTAACGCACTTTTATAAAGTAATATGAGAAGTTGTATCTCCTTCTTAAGATTGTCTAACTCTTATTAGAATAAAATTATATATTTTACAAATAGATATGGTTCTGTGTTACTTATGATAAATATTGTTTACAGTTGTGACTCCAGAAGTTAATAAGAGTGAAACGGATTTAACTGTGCTTACGACAGATGTTTATGAAGAAGAAATTTCAAGCATTGAGCTGTACGGAAAACGCTTTGAAAAAAGATTAACCGACTTTGAGAGTCGCCTTGAAGAGGTAATGATTTTTTTTATTCTATCGATTGGAATAAAATAAAAATTTTTAATTCTACTTATGTGCTTTAATGGATATACTATGTAGCAAATATGTGTATGATAAATGAAGTTTTATTATTTTTTCTTATAACAGCTTTATTTATTAAAACTTAAGTGCAAAAAAACCTTATATTGTTATGGAAAAAGAGAAAAAGTTGTAAGGGTTGGACTGTGTCTCTTGTGTAATGAATTAAAAGAAAACATAAATAAAAATGAATGCTGCTTTATCCGCGGGTAATGCGCTCGGGTAATATGGATAGCTATACATGACTTTTGAGTATATATGATAAAAATTAATTAATAAATTAGACATAATAAAACATTACGTAATGTACACTTTTTGCTAGTCAAAAATCGGAAGAGAATATTGTAGTATTTTAATAAATGCATCATCATTTGAAATGAAGTTTGGATTGGATAAATTTCTTTCTCTATCGTGTTAAATGTTGCATTGTAAGGATTATGTTAATTTTATTAACAGAAATTTTAAGTTCCTTTCCTGTCGATTCTTAACTTCAACTTACTACTTCCGGCCAGAATGTAGTTTTAGAATCACGTTTGAATACATATTGAGGAATTATAAGGAGGTATTTAACCGCGAAGTTCTTCGGTCTTAGTGAGAGAGTTACCGGGTATTCTGGTCTGCACGCGTCCGCCTTTTTAGACCACTCTCTCTAAGCTAATTATTGCGCTCGGCCGTACATTAGGCCCTTGATAGCTTCGCAGTCAGTTAGCGTTAAGGGGCCAACTCGGTTAGAATCTTGATAGCTTCGGCTATATCTTTTTAATTTAGATTAGTTTCAGTTTACTTCTAGCCTCTTAATTTCAAGCCCAAGTGTCGGCTTTTATTGTACATTCCAAGACGGAGTTCTGTTAAATCTTATTTGAATAATAAAGGGCTATTTACCCTTCCATCTTGTTGTTTCTTGTCCCACGAACTCAAGCGATTATTCGCTTATCAGTTCTTAAGATTCTTCACGTTCAACTGTAACTTAGCATTTACAAAGTGAGGAACTCTACAGCATAAATACCCAAAACTATTTCCTGTCAAACAATTATCGGTTATGAAAAGTTGAAATATGATAGATTTTTATAAAAGTAACATTTTAGCATTATTATAAAAATATTTAAGTTAAATAAGACAAGGATTTGCTACGTAGAGTGTAAAACATACTCTACAGGTAAGATTATCATCCATATTTTAGGCTGCCGATAATGACGGATATGTGCAACGCTGTCGGATGGAAGTAAAAGCTTCCATTAGCAGTTATTTATGTGCCACTGTTAATAACGAATACTTACTACCTTTGAAGGGCTATTCAGTGGAATTAAAATGGCAATGCCCTTGGGGATTTGACGAGAGCATTGCGATTGTAATCCTATTGAGCATCTTTGTAAGACTTTAGAGCATGGCCTTCTCGCACATTCAGCAGGATTAAAATCAGGAATTTTATCTAATACGACGCTTCTCTTTTGAGGATAGTATCCTACTTCCTTATATCGATTAGAAAGACTATGTAGAGATACAGAATAATTTGATCGTCTTGCGTATGCTATGGATATCGCTGCCTAAACACTCAGACGCTCATACTGGCTAACATTTATGTTTCGTCCTGTACGAATTGGCTGGTCATTTCAGCTAGTCAACTCACGAGGATTTAACAATTTCCTTGCCGTGCTCACATCTACAGGATCCCTTAACCAGTTAACTGTGGCGGTCTCGTTTGAGATTGCGCACCGTTTTGTGTCGCCAGAATCGAACCATGGCGAGTATATTCGTCAATCACAGAGTAGCTTGCGTTGGTAAGATACTGAATGAAAAGATACGTTTATTTTATAAAATTGAACATTTTATTACTAATATTTACTTATTTGGTTAACATAAGCATATATTATATACTACAAATTAAACTAAAAACGCAATAAATTAAATTAAATATTATACATATAAAAGTAAGAATTTAAATTCCTGCTGTGGAGTGATATTCAGCGAAACAGGGTACTATACACAATGGGACTTTGCAAATCGAACATCAGTAACGCGATTCCTTCCTGGTCTTACGTTTGTAGCAATGCGAAGACCTTCGCGTAGGTTTTCTTTTCTTTTCTTTTCTTTCTTTTATTTATTTATTTATTTTTTTTAATGTACCTGGTATATAATCTTTAACATAATTCCCGCCTAATTGGCGTATATTAGGTGTAAATGACCGAGTTTGAGTTTGTGTCGATTTTATTTCCTTCAATTGGATATGTCGCAAAAGTGTCTTGAATAAATTTGAGCAAAAAGTTGATACGCAATAATGTTCCATTATTTTTTTTCTATTAATATGAATGCATTCAGACATACAATGTCTAAGAAATGGAGAAATATCTTTTTGTAGTATTTTATAGGTCATTTTCTTGCTGTGGAGTACTATGATAATTCCATCGCTCATATCTACTTCACCCATTTTTTTATTATAATCAATCACTAGCTCCGGTTTCTTTGTTATTATTTTTCTTTTTTCTGTTTCTGTTACGTTGTCATTATGTACAGTACTTACTAAATAAACCTCCTTCTTATTTTTCCATTTCATTAACATAATATACACATGACGAGTATACTCGTCAATACACAAATCGCGTCGCTTCTCCATAACGAGTATACTCGTCAATCGCAGTTAACTGATTAAAAGTGATAAAACATCCATGGCAGCAGGAACGGAATTCTTCAGAAAATAGAAAATCAATCCATGACTAAAGTCTAGAACTCGTAACTCATTTATATGTTATACGTAACATTTATGAGTATTTGCTTTTTGAGAGGACATCTATATTCTCCCACCTTCCTAACGTGCCTTAGTGGTGTAGTGGTTCTGCACGCTGGACCGGTATTCCCGAGGTCCGTGGTTCGATTCCCGGCGAAGGCGTTTGCTATATTTCATCTTTCCGGCCTTCTTCCAAAAATACCTAATGTCTCCACAGTGGCGCCCAAACTAAAAGGGTTGTGGATGATGACTCTCCACACCCAAGATTTGGCGATTGTGTCCCCTAAAATCCCGAGTCGCCCTTTATAAGGTATTTCTCCCACTTTCCTAGCGTGCCTTCGTGGTGTAGTGGTTCTGCACGCTGGTCGGTATTCCAGAGGTTCGTGGTTCGATCCCCAGCGAAGGCGTTTGCTATTTTTCATCTTTCCGACCTTCCCCCCCCCAAAAAAAAATCCTAATGTCTCTACGCATCGTTCGATCCCTACCTGCATTATAAAGTTTGGCTTCGGAGATAGGCAATCAGTACCTTTCTGGAAATGTAAGATGCTTGAATCATTATGCTTTTCAGAATCATTTTACGGAGATATGTGTTACCAATGGGCAAGTAGTTAAGATCGCTGAATACTGGGAATTTCAACCTGGGTTTGATCTCAGGTGAAAGGGATGGCTGTGTGATTGATTTTTCCATTCTCCACATGCGCGACGCTCCCTCAGAAAGTCCCCGAACCTCTTAGGCAGACAGCTATTGCGCATCGTATTGTAATAACCGATAATAATTTTTTACAAAGAGATTCCTTCTTTGACAAGCAGCAACTATCCTAGACCAGCCTCAAGTCAAGATTTATTTTTGCGAAAGATCAAGAAATGCTTGATTACCTTTTGTGAGGTTGTTTTATCTTTTCCTTTCCCCCCCTTTTTTTTTCTTTTTTTGAAGAATACTGGCTCTTCATTATCTGCAGCTATACCAAAATATTTAATCCCATTGATTCAGGTGAACAAGTCTTAAATTAGATCAAAATTTCAAATATCGAGTAGAAGAAATTGTATTGTAAAAGTTATAAAAGTGTCACAGTAATTAAAGAAAGGAGATAAGATAGAAAGGAGATAAACTATCTCTTAAATAATCTCTACCTATGTTATTACGTATTACACTAAATATGTATTTAAAATATTGTGATGTAACAAACAAGTAATTAAATCCTAATGGAATGAAATTTATGAGAACTGCAAATAGCACTTTGTTTAGCTACCTAATTGAAAGTTTGAACCAATATACGGAAATAAGATACCTATAAATTTATAAACATTCATAAAATTTTGGTGTATATTTCCAGAGCCACGTACAACTTTCAAATTATTTAAAATACTGCAATGCTTTAATATCAAATAATGATTTTCTAAAAAATGGCCCTTTGAAGTAAACGAGAAGGCCCTTTATCGGTTTTTAGATGTTAGACAGTACGCTTAGAATAACGTACCACTCTATCCACGTACTGATAATTAAGTGGGCATTGTTCTTGTGCGCTCAGACTACTGGCTACTGTTGCATGAGATAGAAGAACATTTAGTTTTATATAATACGTAGGTGTCTCATCAGAATAATTATTCGTTTAAAAAAAGTAACCGAAAAAAAAAAAAAGGAATAGGCAAATATGAGTGATCCAGAGTGGGAATTGTTTTTACAGGTCATTTTAGATATTGATGGAAATTATATGCATTTTTAGTTTATTCATATACGAGTAGAATAGTAATTTTAAAGCCTCTGGTATGTATAATTAACATAAATTTGTTACGAGAACATTCGTAGTTGGCGATATGTTTCAAGAGAAGAAATGCCAATATACTCATATTGGTCAGGATCAGAATGCTCCTATGTATTATCTTGTAACGGGCAGTAAACGTGTTAATATGTAACATAAAAATTTAAGGCCCGGGTTCGAATCCCGGAGAAGGCATGGATGTTTGCAAATGTATAGTGTCGGTGAGACATGGCGGCACTTTAAAGATTAATTATTCTTGAAGAAAAGTGATTCATTTCAGGTAGTCTTTCAATCTGAAAGGTTGCATTTTGTGTCATTTTAAAATTCCAAACAACAGCTCCTCTTTTAAATATTTCATAAGTTAATATTTTATTCATTTATATTTCATAAGTTAATATTTATTGTTGGATTTTTCTTCAAGTTATGAATAGTTACTATGGTAGTCATATTAAGATATTAAAGGCTATTTTAGGCGCAAAAAGTTTAGTTAAGTTCATGTTTTTCCTGAGACAAAACAGAACATTTAACAAAAATGGTGCTGCTATATATATAATTATCAATGACTAAATCTCTATACGTTATACTCAATTATAAGTCAATTTTCAAAACATTTTCCTTAGAAATCAAGAATGGAAATCACGTTTTCTAACATTCAAAAAGAAAAAAAAATTCAACATTTAAAAATCGCTTAAAAATGTAAACAACACTTAAAAATGTATAAAATATTAAAGAATGGATTACAGGATATCTTCTTCTGGAATAATTTTATGATTTTGAGCAATCAAAAATTTATAGTTATAATGTTTCTATAGAAATTTTTGAAAAAGGGTTGGCATATAAGAAAAAAATGTAGAAAATTAACTTTTATATTTTGTTCCATTTATTGTGCTATAAAATGTTAATTTTTTAACTTGATTCTTTAAAAAAAAATTATCAGAAATGCTTCAAAAAAGTAGCATAGTACCATATAATTCCAAATTAATTTTTGAGTAAAACGTTCGAAGGATTGAGCATTTTTTTTTTTTTTGAAACGCTCCTCGTTATTACTGCGCCATTTGAAGTTTTAATAACAATCCAGACACCATAATTCCATAAAATACACATATATTTTTGGATAAATTAACGTTTAGTATATTTTTATCTTTAATAGTTATGTATGTTTCTGATTTAAAGTAACATGTACATTATTTATAACTTTAGATTTAATTTTATGACTTTTTTTTTGAAAAATATTAGCCAGACTTTTCTTATATACAGGGTGAATCTGAGCAAGGGGACAAATCACTGCGGGGTGATAGAATGCAACTTTGCAAGCGATATTCTTCATATAAAGTTTGGGCGGAATGCAAACGGCGAGCTGCTAGGTGGCACTGTAAATGGAACAAAAAGGGTCGGTCCTCGCCCCTAACGGCTTTTTCTACTGCGGATTGCAGAGACGATGGCTGGTTGTACGAGCCACGAAATTTCCAGGGCGATGGATTGGTCCAGGAGATCCCATCGCTTGGCTGCCAAGATCATCGAATATCTCGTGTTTGGACTTTTTTTACCTGTGGGGTCATCCGAAAGCCTAATCTACGAAAGCGCTGTTAAAACGAATGTGAATCTAGTCGCCAGGTTAGCCTTGTTGCTGGCGATACTCTGGGAATTCCTGGTGTCGTCGCAAATACACATCAGTCCCTATCGCGCATGCGTGAAGCTTGCATTACAGCTGGTGAAGATCTTTTCATCAATGTCTTTGAACATGTATATCAATTACATTCGTGGTCATAAAATGTTTTCTGAAGTATCTCCTGTCTTTCTTGTGCTAATTTTTTTAATGTTTCAGTGAAAGATTATCTTTTAACTTCTCACCGTTTTTGTTCCGACCATAAATTCTACGACGAATATTGCTCGTATAAGCTACGTTCTGTCATCCCGTAAGATTTTGCCCCCTTGTTCAGATTCACCCTCTATATTTCTTTTAATGCCTCTTGTAACTGCCCAGAGACCAGAAGTCAAGCAAAAATACTTTTAATCTAGGTAAGATAAGCTCATTTTCTTACGTTATGCGCTTATCTACTTAATACGACAAATGCTCCTTTTCAGTCTTTAAACCTTTCGTAACAATAATTAGCAAAATGATTTCATTACTTGTTGCTTACGAACAAGTGCTAGAAAGTGTCCGTATATAATAATTAACGGGATAACTTCAAAAATTCATTTTAATTCCCGTAGACATTAAAACTACGCATTGTTTATTAAATACAACGAATAAAAATTTTTAAAAAATATCCCTTCTTATTTAGAAGGTAAATTCACTGTAATGGAAAACTTGCAGCTACCAAATTCTTCACAGAATGATTACTTTAAATGTCTAAACTATCATTAGCCCACCAATGGCTGAGCGGTAAAGTCGCTGAACATTGGTAGTTAGGTCCAGGGTTCGAATTTTCGGGTTTTTCTATATGCGTAACGCGTACACCAGCCAGTTTCTCTTAGAAAGCCCTCAACGAAGGTATCCCTCCTCTTAGGCTCTCGAGTGCTTTGCCACGATCAAATTTAACCAATACTAAACTGTAATTACAAAATGTATTTTATAGGTACGAGGTAGAATGGAACGGGCCGAAGAAACCTGTGCGATTGTGGCTTCGAATGCGACGAATGTGATGGAAATATCGAAAGAAAGAGTCCAGAATATTCAAGAGAGTTTTGTGGGTCTTCAGAAAAATGTATCGAAAGTAACATTTAGCAACTACAACATACAGGCTGCCTTGCATGTCCTCACGGAAGACCAGGCATCCGACAGGAGTAGAATACGAGAATTACAGGTAAGTTGACACTGCATTTTTATTATCCAGTAAAGAGAAACTGATCTGTTACAGTGAAATAACCTTGATGATTTGGCCATTTACATATAAAACGTTTCAGCTATTCAATTTAACGTTTTGAAGCAGTTGTTAACCAGTGCATTCGGAATGGACTGGCAGAAAGCTTTTAATGTTCAGTATCAAGCTTTTATATAAATTTCAATAAAGGTCTTTCGAAAAACAAGCTGGTTTATGTTTTCACATAAAGGATGCTAATTCTTTCCTATGTAAATATATTGCAAAGAAAATATTTCAGAAATTCAAGGATTTGAAACAATGTGCATTAACCTAAATATTTTGCCAGGCTAGACAGCATGCTTTTGTAATGCACATCTAAGAACTTTACAAATGTTTTAAAAAATATCGTTTTCAGTCGTTAAACCACTTTGCGTCCGACCTTAAGATGCCTTTCAAGTGTAAAAATCTTTCTGAATACCTAATCGTGAATTCTGCACCTTCGCAATCAAATTTTAGAGTGTATGAGCTCTATAGACCGAGGTTTATTGCTGAAACCCGGTTGTCCAAAGTTTTCAGCTCGTTACTTGTTGAACAAAATGTATGCTAGTTTCACTGTCACTGATGAAAATCATATATTAAAGTTAGAAACATTTCAAATGCAGTGGAAACGTTTTAGAAAAGCAAGTTTATTATACAGAAAAAAAGTATTATTAATATGACTAATTGTTTACCCTTCTCCAGTAACCTTGGTAAGGAATAACTTAGAAATCATTACAAATGTTGGCCACATAGGAATCATTCAAAACAGTTCTGCTGTCTTCTATTTCTTGTAGCCGGGCGTTCACATTTGGGTGTTGGCAACAAAGGTTTTACCATGCAGTGCTACTTATGGAAACTTACTAGCTTGAGAATTTTCAATGATTATTCGTGCCTCAATGATTGGCTCGAGCTCGAAACCGAGAAAGACATGTATGTTTGTAAACTTGTAGTGTTTTTGTTCCTGTGGGCACTTAAATATTATTAAATCGAAAGAGATTGAGAGGTTGGTGTCAGAGAAGAATAGGAGATCCTTGAATCCGTCACTCGTTATGTTCTCCATCAAAACTAGGAGGAAGCTGGGCAAACTTATTCTGTTATATACAATGTGCATAGGCTTGATTAAGGACAGGCTCTTAGCCACAATAAAATTCGTTGAACTGGCATAGTATAGGTTCATATCAGGAAGTTTAGTAACAACAAATGATTATTTGTAATCAATTATTGATTTCTTTTTATGTTGTAGGAAGCACAGAAAAGGACTGAGCATGAAATAAATAACCAGAGACATCGACTGACATCAGTGGAGATGATAGCCACTAACAGCACTTTGCAACGATGTCGTAGCGATGCAAAGGACATGAATCGAGATTTAAAAATAGCAGATCTGGAAGTGAAACTTAACCAGGCACATCGTAGAATGGATGAAAGAGCTAGACTTTCAGAAATGTCACGTAATGCTAACGAGCATGCAATAAGGAGACTGCGAGACTCTGTAAGTGAATATTCTAGACTAACAGGTAATATTAGCGGAGAGCTGATGAAAGTAACGGAACATCAAGATCAACTGAGGAATGAGCTCAGCAAATTCATTCGACAGTTGCCTAGAGGTGAGTGACAACTAGAATTTGTTCAAAGGGAATTGGTACAGAAAAACTAACGATTTGAATTTATTAGGCATAACAAACTTAGTTTATTAGCATCATTTGATTGTTTTCGTTTATTTCATGAAACAAAGATATATATATATATATATATATAAATTTTTCATTAAGGAAATATTGATTATATTATCTCTTTAGTATAAATTTAGCAGAATTTATCAAAATGAGGTAATCCAGAAGTATCAAATTTAATTCGAAAATTGTTTTTTAAAAGGAGCTTGAATGTTCCTTTTAAAAAACAATTTTAGGAAATAAATTTCACTTCAAGTTCCTTTTAAAAAACAATTTTCGGAATTAATTTTCACTTCAAGTTTCTTTTAAAAAACAATTTTCGGAATTAAATTTCATTCAAGTTCCTTTTGAAAAACAATTTTCGGAATTAAATTTCATACTTCTGGGTTACCGCATTGTTTTTTTTAAAGGAGCTTGAATTAAAACGAACAATTTTCGGAATTAAATTTCATTCAAGTTCCTTTTAAAAAATAATTTTCGGAATTAAATTTCATACTTCTGGGTTACCTCATTCTGATACATTCTACTAAATTTATATTAGGAGATAATCTAATCAATATTTCTTTAGCAAATAAATTATTATTATCTTTTTTGCAGCTTATTAGAAAAACTTGTTTTCGATTTCTATGAATTTCAGTTCATTCAATATTATATATATAGCTGTGATTCGTTTGTTATTCCCAGTTATTTTGCTAATTGCAATCAAACGAAAATTCGTTTTACAGAGTAATTTCAAATGCATGATACAAAAAGGGAAATACATGTGTGATTAATGAAATTATTTTACATTTGCAGGTATAACATGAAAGTTTACTCTTCAAAATTTATATAGCAACACTGAAAAAAGGAACCCTTTCAGAAATGCTCATTATAAGCGCTGTTGTTTTAAATGGAGACATCAGAAAAAAAAAAAGCTAAATTCTCCATTGTTGTAAAGCAGATTTCTGATCAAATATGATAAAAAAGCAACTCACCATCACAAGCGGGTGAAAAGGTTTCAAGAAATGACTTGCTTTTACCAGATAAAAAAACACTGGACAGCCATCTGTCAACAAACAAGTGATGAAAAACATTTATGCAATTTATTTGCAAATCTCCAGCAAAGTACCGTGCCAGTAGACAACTTAACACCATGCCGCAACAATGCTTTTTCATGAATTTTTTGCCTATTTAAGAAACAAGCTTTATATTCGCAAACATCGCCATTTTGAATATTAGCGCCTCAAGTCAGCATTTCGGAAATGGCGAGCTTTTCAGTGTTGCCAAATAAAACCCAGAAATTTAAATCTGTTATTCGTGAAAAACTTTGTTTTTTTTTTTTCATTTTACTCTTTAAATTAGTCTATATTTTATAAGATTGATGAAAGACATTCCTAAGCTCATAACTTTTCACTCAAAAGTGCAAATTTAGACCAGGATATTTCAAGTATTCTAAATGGCTATGCTAATTTATGTGTCTTTCGAAAGCAACGAATACGAATAAAAATGGCCTAAGATATCATAAACATTGCTTTTCTAGCTGTAAATTTACGCAAGGCTCATAATTAATGTAGTATATTTTGCAGTTAGTTTAATAAATGGCAACCATATAAAGTGCAATTCTGTCGCATTATCAAAAATAGGTTTTTCTATACACAAAACTCAGTAAAGACTACAGTTATATAATCCAATCCAATCCCATAATTTATGTCGTATTCTGTTGTATAACTATTACCTCAATTGTATCATTGCCGAAGTTAAGGGGAACCCCTCATCGTCAACTAAAAGTCATTTCAGAATTGATTGGTGTGACCCATATGCCTTGCAGCAGAGAAAAATTCTCTACAACTCCTAAATCCCTAGGAATAAAAACGGGTTGGTTGGTATTTCTACATATTTAGATCATCTGTGAGGCATAAAATTCATTAAAGTGATTCGACTTCAAAAAGCAGACAGTTTTACTTAACGAATATTACAACGACTGATTCAATATTAATGAGATGAGAGAAAAGACTCAATAGGAAGTGTTCCTAATGCGTTTCGGAATGGGAAGCTAAGCATTCGACCAGTACCTCCTACATACAACTAAAACATACTCCTAAAAACTGATATTGCAAAAATAAAACATGATTAATAAATTTAGGGTTAGGGAGTTTTAGTTTTAATCAACTGTTAACTTGTCATTATGCATTATTGTTGCCTTTTTTTTATCAAGGAAGAGGATATTTAGTAAAATATATATTCAAAAAACAAACCAGCAACAGCCAGATCTTAAACATGTATTTTATTACCACCATCCGAAGTATGTTAAATCAATTTCTGTTCTATTATTTTAAGTGTAAAATTATTTAAGAAAAGTTAAGATACGTATTTGAAATTAGGAAATGCAGTCGATGAAGGGCAAATCGGATATACATATTTATTTATTTAAAATCAAATGATATAGGCCTTCTGCAAGGGGGGACTACGTTTCATTTTCTATCGTCTTAAGGGAATAACAGCGATAAGTGGCTTCATGTGGCAACCATTCTGTCTGTAGATAAGGACGACTTTAGTGACGTAGTGTCAGCCGTGCCGTGGCTTTGTATGTAGGAGGTACTGACTCGACCCGATAAATTTGTCTCTGTGAAAGCAACGATTCCGCAATCGGCTGTGAAATCAACCCGAAAAGGTGTTAGTAACGTATCAAAATGGAAACGCAGAGTTAGGTGACTCTATGTGGACAATGAAAAAACATATGCAGAAAAAACTGCAAACTAAAATCTTAGATTCTTAGGAAATAAAATGTAAGTTTGAGTTCATATAGTTTAGCTCATTCAAGTCAATGTAATCTGATTTTTTCGCTATTATCTCTTTAGTGAAATTTTGAAGTAAAACAAATAATGCGTGTGTGTGTGTGTGTTATTATGGCAAAGCCTCGAGGGCTATCTGCCTAAAGGGAGGGATGCCTTTCGTGGAGGACTTTCTAAGGGAAACTGGCTCGTATACACGTTACACATGGGGAAAACCACGAAAACGCCCATGCAGCCAGCCCGTTCGCGGGATTCGAACCTCGGACCGAACTACCAGTGTTCAGCGACTTTACCGCTCGGCCGCTGGTGGGCTAAAACAAATAATGCAGTCTTCTTTATCTCATTTAGTGCACGAATTGAATTGAATGTTACTGAAACGTTAAATAGCATATTTGTTTTTTTTCAGATTGCTCCAGAGAAACTGAAAGTGGAGTGAAGTTGATAAATGTACCTACATTAGGACCCACAGAAGTATATTGTGATACTTATACTGAAGGTGGACCGTGGTTGGTTGTGCAAAACAGGGCAGACGGATCCGAAAATTTCTATCGCAGCTGGAAGGAATATCGTAATGGCTTCGGTAAACCAGAAGGAGAACACTGGTTGGGTAATGAAATTCTCTATCTTCTGACAAAGGACAGACAAATGAAGCTTCGCATCGATATGCGAGATACGCTTGGGCACTATCTTTTTGCTGAGTACGATGATTTTAAAGTCAAATCGGAAGAAAATTTGTACACTCTTGTGGTTGGTCGTTACAGCGGAAATGCAAGTGATGCCTTAAGTCACCATTCTGGTATGGGTTTCAGTACTCACGATAAAGATAATGATGCATCTAGCACAAATTGCGCTATGCATTATACTGCTGGTTGGTGGTACCAACATTGTCATAGAGCCGATCTGAACGGGAGATTTGCAATAGGAATGACTTGGTATGATGAACAGAAACATGACTGGATACAATTACAGAGTGTAGACATGAAAATTAAACCACTTGGATCATGACGAGGGAGTAAGATAGCGATTGAAAACGTGACAGCATAATTGAATGCCAGAACACTCCATATACACTTTTTTGAAGTTTCAGTATAGTATTGATGTTGTGCTAAAAAAAACATGTAAAGAAACTGAAGCTCAAGGATGAATTTCAATGTAAAATATAACTGAAACTGTTCAATAGTTCAAGGACGAATGTTGGTTACTGAAAGTCATCGGAATATGAATTTGGTTAAATAACTGTAGACTAGACTACATGGCAATGTAAAACCGTCTTTCAAATTACTGCAAAAGCATTGCTAATTGAACTGCACTATAAATGTACACACCTTAATGTAAATATTAATATTACGTTTTTTAAATTAAATGTGTTTAAATAATTGAAAGTGGTAAGTGTTAATTTTTCTGAATTAGTTAGCTAAATTTATTAGTTACTAATTATAAATTTTTAGCTAAGGAAAGTGGGAAAATTAAATAAAATATATTTATATTAAGCTATCTATTTATATTTTTAGAAACATAAAGGATATTTAAAAAATATAAAGAAGATACGGTATCCATTTTAAACGTGCATTTTACGAAGTTCTTATACATCAAAGTTCGTTTGTTAGTTCTAAGAACTGGCCCCCAGCCCACCTAGCAGACGAAGCCTGCCATGGCTATGAGGGGACCGGCCAATCCAACTACAAACGAATGTTAAATAAAAAACTTAATAAATGGTTACATAACGGAATATAACAAACTTAATAAACATCTGGTAATAAATTCAGATAGCACAAAACGAACATAAGAAACTCTAAAGAAAAAAAAAAAACAAAGGTTTTATATATATATATAAAACGAAATCGCAACACATAAAGCAGATGCATACATTCCAAACACTCTTGGTGAAATAATTAGAATATAGAAGTATCGTTTCCATTTCTGTGTTTTTTTCCTAAATTTTAAATCTTTTTAAGTTTTACTTTCAATTATTATTATTTAAATTTCCTTTACATTATCAAAAAATAATCTTAAATTTATAAGTTTACTTCAATCATCTCTATTTTCAATATTATTTTCTGCTTTGTTATATCACGATGCCAATATTCTCCTTATTCTCATTCACAATTTGCATAATATCTCTTGCAAATTTTCTAAACAAATTAAGTTAGTTTCGTATAGCTGTAGACTAGCTGTTAGGTATACCAGTTAAATAGTTCGCTTCCAGAGTTCTTGTAATATAATTTAAATTTGCGGCGTGTACAAAACTATCTTTGAAAAATGCCGACATAAACAACCATAAAGGGCAATTCCGAGGATTTCGAAACTAAGGCCTTCTTGAAGCCATTCAATTCGTTATATGGGAAACAGGGTTTTTCACATTCATTTACATTAAAACAATACATTAAATTCTTCTGAACCTGGGAATATAATATGTTATATTTTTCTATCATCTAATGCATGATTTGGTTTTGTATTTCAAGATCTGATAGCTATAATAAACAAAATCTGCCTCTACTTTTTAAATAAACTTTATGATAAAATGAACTTAACACATTATTCCGATTAGTATAGTTTCTGGTAAATTGCTTGTTTGATGCATTAGTTTAAATTAAATATTCCAGTCTATGAAATTACCAGAAGAATGTTTTGAAGAAGAAAGAACAGTATACACTTTACTGAGACACGTTCTAAATTTGGAAGTATCTCATTATTCTGTGTACATGTTTTGTGCTATTCATCTTGACTTAAGTTTTAAAATCACCATATAGTTGAGTTAAAAGATAGTAACTAGTTAAAAAAAGTCTCTGAAATTAAATGAAACAAAATCAAATGATTGAGATTAAATAATGAAAATGAAACAGTGAGATTTATCAACTATGGAATTAGATAAATTACATTAGTGTACCTGAACCACGAAAATAAAACGTATTATTTACTTATTAATCTTAAGTGTTTTCTCATTATTAAATATGAATCTGGCTCTAAAATATAAACAAGGTAACTTGCGAATTTTACAAGTAAAGGTAAGAAATATTAAATACTTAGCTTATTAAAGCATGATGAATATTTTACTGTTTGAAATGTTTTCCATAACGGAACAATGAACATGATTACATTCTGTACTTAGAGAATATAGAATATGTTTGCAGAACCTTCTCATATATATTGCTGAAATTGTTTTTATAAAATTATCTATCTTATTTTGAAGTAAACGTAAAGAATAAGACTATTTAAGTTCCAAATGTTTCTTTTTTGAAACATCTAGGGTAAGAATTTTCGGAAATTATTGACATTTTCAATAAATATTTTCTGAGTAGTTGTAAAAGCTGACCGTTTTGTTAATTTTTGAAGCTCGCTCTGTTTACGATAGATTTTCTTTCCTTGTATATTGTGGCCTTTTTTATGTTGTTTTAAATTTAACGACCATATTGGCAGTCTAAGAAGGCAAAACTCTTGAAATGCTCACGCTCGCTAATTTCATTATTTTCTTGAATTTTACGAATCTAAAGACCATGTTGTACAGGGAATTACCTACATTAATCAAATACCTCTCCATTACTTACTTAATACATCAATTTTAAACTTAATTTGAAAAGAGTGAAATTGGAAAAAACGTAATAAAGATACGTCATATTTTATCCACATTCATATACAACTTGAATTTTATTTACTCTTGATTTCAAAACAGAATCATGGCTAAAGAAAAAAGCGCACCACTGGAATTGAAGGATTATGAGACTAAATTCAAGACTATTAAGAATGAAATATTTATTAATTTTACAAATAACCAGGGTATACAATGCCAATGTTCTTTAATAAAACTGCCCTTTTCCTCCTTCAGCCTTTTATTCTTTGAATGGCATGCTTTTGAAACATTCTACTCTTTTTGGGCAATATTCGTCAGTTTTGGTTCAATTTTTGGTCCACATTGATTGGTAGAACTGAAATTGTTTCCTGTAATAACAGTTCATCTCATTCACTCGCACCGGCATCTTTTTTCTTTCTTCCGGCAGTTATTTATTGCACTGCCTCAGATCTGTACCTTTGCGATCTCGGCACCAGGCGATAAAATAACAGACCCGGTACCTGGTGCCAGAAAGGGGCTGTCAATAGTGTCTTGGAAGGTCCTGGCTTCGGCCGTCAGAGTAGGCTGGCGCTGCAGTCAGTCCTTCGACTCCTCGCACCACGCGAGCCTTGCCAGTCCAGTAATTCCTATTTGAGATAGGGAGTAACTAATGGACGAGCCTAGTTGTGCGACCTTGAAAGGATGCGGTACAGGTAACCTCGTAACTAACTGCATCAACTTGTAATTTTATTTCGCCGCTCTTATCAGTATAGCGATTAGACACGCTAGCTATAGAATCTTTGGGCTTAGGCTCGAATTCTAGAAAGGACTCGGATTTATATAGTATATTAATATCTGTATGGCATGGCGTAAAATAATGTATAGCTAAAAGTCCTCTCGAAAGGTTTGGTGGTAAGAAAGAGAGATAGAAGATCTTTTGGATTAGACTCCCGGGGATGTTCGCCATTGAAATTTAGACGGAACCGTACAGTTAGCGTGGTTGGGACTATACCTGTAAACCATTGGTTAAGTTCTAACAGTCTGTACCCCACGTCTTTCTGGCCTATAATATTATTTTAAATTCGTCAGTATTCCTAGACTTATTAAAGACTCAGATTTTAGAAGCTCAGGGAATGCATACTGACCAATCTAAAACATACCAATTGTAGAACTCCTTTTCTTTTAGGTATCACAGAGCTAAGAATATTTCTGCTAGTGCAGCATTGTCGACCTGCGCTGCTGAAGAAATCGTCAGATTCTGAGAAGAACATATGTTAAACACACTGTTAAAAAAACAGAAGAATTGGCCACATCTGCAATAAAAAAATCTGTTGTGAACACCAGATGACTTCCTTTTGCGGCCTATTATACGGATTTTTTGCTGCAGTTCATTTAAACTTAGTTTCTCGAATTAATCTAACTTAATTAACCGGTCCCTTGAGGCAAGTTGAAAATGAAATCAAAAATTGCAAATTTTGAAATCAAATATCGCGTTAAATTTTTTTCGGACTGGAGTCAAATTTCTTGTATTTTTCCATAACGAGTATAACTCTTTGCCGAATATAAGTATGCAAACCGGGAGGCCGCATTAAAAGTTAGATTTCGTTATTTGTCGATACCCAAACATGAATATTTTCGTCATTTAAAACACTTCTGTAACTGGAACTATGTGACTACGATCGTCGATTGCGAAAATAATGGTCGGTTAAGGACTTTTAAGTCTAATGTGGGGAATATATATATTACATATATATATATGTAAGATATAACAAAATATGATAGCTGTTTCAAAATATAATTGATGATCTCAAAATTAACATTCTAAATTTGATGATATACCCCTAAATTCATCTCTTCTCACAGGTTCCAGAGTTTTCTATCTTACGTAACGTTTTAATGCAGATACCTCTTGTCCAATCAAATTAATTCTAAACCAGAACTGTTGAACTGAAACTTTTCCGACTTCCACCCTTCTTCCTCTGAAGTTCTATGATACTCTGCCCTTTTCCGCGTTAGCTCTCCTGCTGGTAAGACGCATTTCATCCATGCTGCTGCCGCTTAAGATGACGTCGTACTTCAAAATGGAAGTTATTCTATTCAAATATTATTAAGAAATATCTTGTATGAAAAAGGATTACTTGGTATGCATGGAAAAAATAAAAGATTGTGATTTTTCAAGATATGTTGTGCTAAATTGCGTCATCATGCTTTCCACTCTGCCACCTTCAAGCCACTACGGTCTTCTCGGTCATCTACGCAGTATTCGTAAGCTGTTGGGAGGTCCACTGCTTTCATCTACGCATTTGAAATCATTACATATATATATATGCAATGAAGAAAGTAGACTGAGAAGCGATGAAAGTGTAGATAGAAAAATCTGGCATTTCATTCATTGTAATGAATCAAACTTAGATGAAATGATATTGTAGAAATATTGACAGCATAGAACGTAGAATGTTAAAATGTTGATCCATAATGAATAGGAAACTGGCAGCCGCGGCAAATTAAACCTTTAACTTTATTTTAGAAAACATATTGTGGCCACGAAACTTGGCACTCTAATTCATACCTGTTGCAAAACGTTTACATTTTTGATAGCTTTGCACTAAGAAGAGAGCAGCAGGCAGCAGTTCAACTCGTCAGAAGTGTATAAAGCAAATGCAGTTGCGTTCAGAATGAAATTTTAATTGAGAATAAGATGGTTTTGGTTTTCAGTGCATTTGATTGGATAATTTTAATAGTGCTGAAAAATTATTATTGGTTGTTTGAGTTTAATTAAGACACAATAACACGCCGAATAAATACTAATTCAGAAATCAAACAACAAAAATCAGCGTTATATTTACAAAATTTTCACAGGACTAGTTTCGATGGTTTTACCGAACCATCATCTTCAGCTGCAAAACCGCAAATGAACAAGAGAGGAAATAATGATTAGATAAGATAAGAAAGCCTGGACAGGAATAAGCAAGTGGCGCCATCTGTTGGCGAAACCAGAACTAAAACATAAAAACATCTTTTTCATTCAAACATTTCAAAAAACATCTTCCATTGGAGAACTGGATTTTCTAGAGGCATTTCACATTCATAAAAATCTTTCTGTTCTAGTTAACGATCCTATTCCAATCCAAATTTTTGCCTTCTGCTTTTAGAGAATTATTATGTTTTAGTTCTGGTTTCGCCAACAGATGGCGCCACTTGCTTATTCTTGTCCAGGCTTTCTTATCTTATCTAATCATTATTTCCTCTCTTGTTCATTTGCGGTTTTGCAGCTGAAGATGATGGTTCGGTAAAACCATCGAAACTAGTCCTGTGAAATATTTGTAAATATAACGCTGATTTTGGTTGTTTGACTTCTGAATTAGTGTTTGAGTTTAGTTCAATTTACATCATCAGTGTTTTGTAAAAGTCATATGACATGTTTTAACACAGGGAAAATACTACATTAACCATTAAAGGGCTATCGCTAATTTATGAATTACCTTTTATATATTTATATATATGTTCGGCGCTGCCAATTGGAATAAAAAAGAAAGGTGCACAACTAGATGCTATAGCAGTCCCCACATACAAAATTTCAACTATCCACGGACAGTCATTTTCTAGTTATACGAGATATATATGTTACGGTGAAACACCGAAATCTGGAGAATGTCGACTTTCACCGGTGAATGTCAACATTCACCTAGTCGCTTGGTGTATGTCCGAAATATTTTCAAAATACTCTTATTTCTGACTTACACTGGTCAATGTCGACATTCGCTATGTACTAATGGTGAATGTTGAACATATAAGAATATTATATTTCCTTCTCCGTAATTCATTCGCGTAAAAAACGCACTTGAGACTCAGAATAAGAACTTAAGAATATAAGAACTTAAAACACACAGTACATTCAAAATGAGAAAGGAAAATAATAGAAGTTATAAACTTACCAAATTATGTGATTCAAATCTTATTTATTGCAACAACTTAAACTATTATGACACTTTGAATTGCACAAGAGGCCCTTGCTTTTACAACTGCTTTTATTTGTCGAACACTTCCTTTTGGAATGGCAGCGTGTACATATACTCCTCTCTTTTCGACCTACACCAGAGCATATCTGTGATTGTCGACATACACCGGTGAGGGTCCGAATGTACAAGAATGTAAAGAAATATTCGATCTTTCACCGACGTATTTGGTGAATGTTGACATTCTCCGGTGAAAGTTGACATTCTCCAATTTCGGTGTTTCACGGTAACATATACATTGCTTACATACATACGCGCGTACGTACAGACGTGTCACGAAATAAAATCCGTTTTGAATTGATTGTAAATCCATTTTTGCAATAAACAGTATTTTATTCTGTCCGTACGTGTGGATGTCTTGCAAAAACGTCGTCCGAATGTATTCAGGAACGATCAAAATAGATATTTCTGTTGAAATATGATACCCGAAAATTTTCACGATTGCAATTTTTCCTTTATTTGGTACAAGGAAGTAATAACATTGTTTATTTTATTTTTTATGAAATAAATATATATCTGAGTTACATTTCAAGGCGTTTGATTCAGCCTCAAAAACGTATGGCAGATACTGTACAAAAACAAAATAGTTCATTAAAGTCAGACACATTTAAATATCAGGATAAGCGCATAATTCTATAAGCAGACTGAACTCAAATCTCAAAAATTAACTCAAATAGTGGCATTAAGTTCAGATGCTTTAGACCTGTTAAGTTCAGCTTTTATAATACACAGTGAAATGAAGGAAACAAATCACCTTACCTCGATGGGAACTGAATCAATAAAGATAGAGAGAAACCAGTTGAGAGTGACGGTGCTGAGTTCAATATCTAATGCAGCTAGATGTGCTGATATTTTGGGAAGCTTGCTCTTGAGCAGTTCTTTCAGCAACTCCTGATCAGCCTGAGCACCGATTAAATTGTGGTCAAAGTAACTTGAATTGAAGTACCTTTCTACTATAGCAACCAAACACCTGAAATTATTTTTATACCAGTTACCTTTAAATTAAATAATAATGATTGACATTAAGTATTTTCTGATTTTATTAATTGTTGCCAAAAGAGGAATGAAAGTTAAAAATTTATTCAAACTGTTGGTTATAGAGTAAATTTTAAAATAATCAGTATCTCTTTAATGTGTTGTAATTACGTAAAAGAAGAAATTGCTTAAAAATTTCAAGGAAGTAAAATTAACTTCTTCAATTAAGGTTATCATTTACATAAATGGTTGAAAGACAGTACAAGTGGAAATCACTGTTAGCTTTTAAGATTCTTTACCCAGCTGTTTACAAGAAAAAATTATATAGTACAGTACTATATTAAAAAAACTGGTACTACTGAGCATATGGAAAATAGACTGTAATGTTATTTGTCCATTTGACAAAATTTGCATCTACCAGTATGTATTTAAAAGGTGTAGAAGTTTGTAAAGCTGTGTCATCCTTAGAAATGAGATTTTTTAAGATTTAAGCAATTAAATCGCGATCTAATAGTTTGAACTGGCAAGCTACGCTAGTGTTTTAGAGATACTATAGCGTTAAGTACTATGGCGTTTTAGAGTACTATGGTGTTAGAGTAAAGTTTTTCACAAGTGACCATTTTAATAGCGTATAGTGAACAAAATCCAACTTTCAACAATAACGTTTTTAAGGGATTAGAATACTGTCTCTAATAACATTAAAATTCAATGCTGGAGTTTGAGCAAAGATCAACAAGAGGACTATGGAGCATTCCTTTCATTAGGTGAGGGTTAGAAGCCTGGACCCAACTAGACTAGCCTTGAATGGTAGACGGATGCACAACACAGACATATGCAAGTTTTCTGGATTCGACAGTTTGGACTACATAGGCTGTCTGGAAACTTGATGTCTAGAAATAAGATTACCTGCTTTGGTCAGTTTTGGGTAGACTGAAAGATCTAGACATGGAGAAAATCGAGTGAACCCACGAAATCCTATATAGCAACAGGAGAATGCCTTTATAATGGTAGGGGTTTTGCAGCTGGAATTCAGTAGTACCTCTGGTAAGTCAACAAACATTTCTGACAAGAGAAAATATGTGCGCATCCATTTTGATGAATTACATACGTTCTTGCCATGCATTCATTCTGATAGGTTTGGCTTCTACTAGCAAACCTAAAGATGCCAAGTGATGATTAGAGAAACATATATATGAGCCTGAAGCCTTATCACAACCATCCAAGTCTCAATATGTCAAAGCAAAATTATAGATTGCTATACATGAAGTATGCGTTCATGGCCAACACAACATTAATGAAGTTCTGTGTCATCTCGTATTTCTACAGATTTGCCCTTCTGTGAGCAGTCAATTAAATACTAGACTTGCGTACAAGATTTTCTGGATTGTTATTATCTTTCATCATTGCAACTTCCTACAACAGTTATAAAGAATAGTGAATAAGGGGAAAATAATTTTATTCTTCATGTACTATAAGTGTGTTCCAAATAATTATTTTTTGGATAATAAGTTGCACGAAGCTCTTCTCTGCTAGCTGGGAATTAAATCGTGTTCATTAATTTGTTATTTAGTTGTTTAATTCTTACGACATGCCTGAATAAGGCTGCTGTGTTTGTCTAGAGCTGCTTGAAGTGGAAGCTCATGATAAATGAACTCTTGAAACAATAATGTTCTCCGTCATTCCTTTTCTTGAAAAGATATTATTCCATGATAGAGATGTTATTTTCACAGAAAAAGCGGGGAAATGGTCATGATCCGTTAACAACCAGTTAGCATAATATGGGTTTGAGTTATGCCGTGCATTATGGATCTCGCGAAGCATTTGGGAAAGTCTTTTGCCTTATACGCCTATTAATATTTCGATATCCTCTCTCTGTCTGCAATTAACTAGACCTAAAATCCATTGTTTCCTTCTTATTCCCCCTCCTCATGGAAATCCAGCTGTGAATGCTATAGAAAAGACTATTACTACGCATTCAGTTAGGCTTTGCAATATTCGACAGATATCTTTGAACGTGGATGACACATGATGTTTGAACGTGCCAAACAGGAAGGACGCAAAGCTGCTCTCATTGATGTCAATTGTGGGCAGTACGGATATTTGCTATGAATTACTTTATTTGAGACACAATGCTCGATTTCTTGGGCATCTTCTGTTGTCTGCGTAGTGCACAGTAAAATGAATTGTGATCTGTGATGTAATTATGTCGGCGTTTTTCATTAATCTTGTATTCACAGGTGTTGTGTTTGCTCACATCTAGTAAAATTTCGCATCTCAGTCACGATATTACTAATTGAAATGAATCCATTGCTTTGACCTTTCTTGTATTTCTCACTTGCTTCCGATTATCCTGCGTCTTTGGCTTTAAACCACGATGTTCTCTCTCTTTGGCAATGAGTCTAGAAGCCCACAACTAAAACACAGTATCTCTTCATTCGTTCAACCAGAGGTATTATTACGGGAGTTTTAAATCACTTATGTCCTGAATGATGCCGTGCTTCGAAACAACTCCAACGACATTTTATTTCTTTTGACCACCAGAACACTTCATGTAAAGTTGCACCTTTTCTGGGACACACTGTATAAATGATAAAGGATTTTAAAAGGGCGGAAAAATTGTCAATGAACTCATTTTTTTAACATTCTATTTTAAACGATATGTGTATTAAAATTCTAATAAATCCCAAGATTTATATCCTCATATATTAGTATTGTCTATGCAATTGGTTCCTTAGTAAGGTTCCATTATGTTAATTTAACTAGTTATTATGATTTAGCTCTTTACTGTTACTTCTTTTTTTCCGTTTCCCTACCAGAATACAAATTAGTTCGAGAGTATCCAAGGCGAGGTTTCTGGACTGTAAAAAGAAAGCGCGTTTCTGTCTGGCCAGGTTATTAAGTTTCTGCTAGCTAAGACAAGATTCCACTTTCCTTCTTTGCATTGTAGTTGCCGACTTTTATATTGTTACCCCGGTGAGTTTTTTGATCCAGCTTCTTGTTACATCTTTTGTGTAGCCTTTGCTACTTGACTTAGATTTAAATTTGAACGTGCTGTTACTTCAAGTTACATCGCCACAAGTAGTTGATTGATTTGTCAAGCACGAGACGTGCATTTATATTCCAGCCCTGATTTAATAAATAATTTTTTAACCCTTCTTAAGACCCTCTATGTCTGTAGGGAGTTTAGAATTAGTTATGCTACCAAAGAACACCAATCTCTATGCCTTAAGTTCCTAAATGTCTTATACAATCCATAGATTTTTTTCGGTAAGATGATGCAATTTGTGCCTTTCGTATTACTTAATTGTTTACCTAAAACGTTAATTTATTCAAAAAAATCGATTTTTGTTATTTAAATATGATTAAAAATTCAGATCACTTTATAATACAGAAAATGTTAAATCTTATGGATTAGTGTTTTCATGCAAAATACGCTTAATATTGAAACTGGAATAAAAAATACAAGAAACTGCGATTTTGTGGCACAAAATTGCTGTTAGCTGTTAAAATCTTTTACCTCGTGTTTGGCATAAAATTCGATGCTCACCAAAGTAAAAAGACCAGAAACTAACCAGAAGGCGTCCTCTGCGTCAACAAACAGTAACATCATCCCCACAAGGAAATTCATGCCTTGACAGTAGCCCAGCTTTGGATTATGGAGGCAGAAAGCATGCAGAACAGACTGCATTTTCTGGATCTAGGGAAAAATTAATGGATTGATCATCATCACACATTTTTGTAAAGAAAAAAAAGAAAAAAAAAAAGATTTTATTTTGACACACAAGTTTTTTTTTTTTTTTTTTTTTTTTTTTTTAATATTATCACAATTACATGATTTACATACTTTCCTCACCTTTGCGAAGAAAAATAAAGCTCTATTTTAGGAACAGTATAAAAATTTAATTATATTAGCCAAAAATATTTTTATAAATGGGAATTCGAATTTTGTAACAATACAAACATGTTTTTCTAGTGCAAAAAGTACCCTTTACAAATCTTCGTAAAATTATATTCATAGCTGTCTTTAGTGAAATTTGTACACGTCCCCCGAAAACTTTAATCAATGATTTATTGAGAAAGTTTGATTGGTGAGATTCTGTTTTTTTTTTTTTTTTTTTTTTTTTGGCCATTATGAAGGTGAAAAAAAATTTTCGCGTTGAATGTTTCCCTTTTCTTACAGGAGCTGTATAAAAATTTAAGTTTCTTACATTAGCGAAGCGTGTGATGCGATAAAAATTGTCACAATTTGAAATGCTGCCTTGATTCGTCACTTAAATATGAATGTCACTTAAATATGAAATCTGAATTATTGTTCATGACCTACCGTTTAAGGATATAGAAATATGTAACATTTTTTAAAACCACTTATATATGCAGATTAGAAGTGAGATAAGAAATATTTTTACCTACTTTTAAAGCAATGCAATAAATAGTCACATAACAATATTTAATACATAACAATATTTAAATAAGTCGATAACAATATTTAATACAGGTATATCAAAAAGAGTCATCCGATTAAAAAAATCATACCTACTCAGCTTTCAATCCGTTTTGATCGAATGGTGTATAGGTGGAGAGAGAATAATTTGGAGTTTAATGCAGTTGGCGACAGGGAGAACTAACACTCTACACTCTTCCTTCGTCTAGCCACTTCAATGTGTGTCTAGATGGCGACTGGGAAACAAGAAATCGTTTTGTGCTGTACGTTTGGCAAAGTGTGAGTCCATAACAACTCTTCAACGCGATTTTCGTCGTCCTGCTGCTCAACAACCTACAACTCAGAGCACTAAGCGATGGTATAAACATTCCAAGACGTGGATAAAAAGAAATCACCTGGCCGTCCCCACATGTCAGACGAAAATGTGGAGCTCATCCAACAGAATTTCGCCTGTAATCCTCAGAAATCCACTCACCGTGCCAGTAGGGAACTTGGAATCCCTTTAGCTTCTGTCTGGAGTGCTTTGCGGTGACGTTTGTTCCTCAAACCATACAGGATTCAATAGCTGCATGCTCTTCATACAGGTTACAAGGAAAGATGTGTGGAGTTTTGAGAATGTGTCATAAGATGACAATTTTTTAATACGTTTCGCGTTTAGGGACTGGGGAACTTTTCATCTAAGTGGCAGGGCCAATCGACACAATGTTAGAATATGGGGTCTGGAGCAGGCACATCGAATTGTACAGCATGAGAGAGAGTCGCCAAAAGTTAATGTTTTTTACGCTATTTCTCTGAAAAAGGTAAATGATATTTTTTTTCAAAGAGGTCGCTGTTAAGGGAATCACATATCTTAATATAGTATTTGAAAACTAGTTTTTCCCTAGAAAAGATTGAGATGATTGCATTTCCCAGCTAGACGGGCACCACTATACTGCAGATTGGGCGTTCAACCATTTTTAAACAATCGCATTTCTAAACGATGGCCGTTTCGGACCTGACGATTTAGTTAAACATCACTGGCCTCCATAAATCGCCGGACATCTCACTGTGAGATTTCTTCTTGTGGGGGTTTATAAAACATTACGTTTCTGTGACTCCACTTCCAGCTCCAGCTACATTACGAACTTAACATTCGCAAAACAACAACCGTGGAAGCTGTGGATACAGATACACTCGCAAAAACCTAGGACGAATTTAAGTATCGTAGAGACATATGGTGTTTCCGAAGATGGATATATTGAGCATCTTTATAATTTCGTTTGTAAATGTACTTTATGATTGATAAAAATTAATTTAAAGTTGAAATTAAACTGGAAAAGTTTCTATGTTCAATATTGTCCACAATATACGTATTTCTTGTCAGAGGATTCTTTATTCTTTTTGAAGCATCCTGTATTATACACGTGATTTGTGTTGCTCCTTTGCCTGCTACCAAATGCAGTAAACTCTTTTTAAGGTTGGAAAGTTAATAAAAACATATTTAAACGCGGTTTGAAATGGAAGCTTGGTTAAAAGTTGCTTTTTCTAGTAACATATTTATCTTGCAAGTCAAGATTAAATTTAAAGACGAATCAAAGTAAATATGGAATTGATTTTCATCTTTGGATGTTAAATAGCATTCTTTTCGTTTTTTATTAGAATCATAAAAGGTGAGATTATCTAATTAAGAAATACATTAATGATAATAAAGGTAAATAATTTGTTATTTTGTCTTCCACGAATTTAAAATATGACAGCAAAATTTGTTCATCACCACAAAATTTCATGGAGGTATTCCTGAACAAACTAACTGACTTAAATCTCTTTACAATTTACAGAGAATTCGGCCATTTTGGAACAAAGTACAAAATAAAGCGTACTCGTTTAGGCAGTAAATGTGTCCTAATAAAACAGCATTCGTTATCAAATTTATAGCTGATGCCATGAATGTATTCCGCTCATCTAAGAATTTTATCCACATTTGTATTTATCTTATTAAAACATAGCCAATTTGTTTAAGATCTGGATGCTTTACTTTATCTAGACTTAAAAGTAGATTTATATCAATGATATTTTCAAATGCATTGCTTTTATGAAACATTCTGCCACATTTTCATAAATGTTATAACCAGAAACACAAGTTTATAATCTTTAATTAACGAATTAAAGCCAATAGTCACATCTTCCTGTATATTTTAAGAACGGAACGCAACATTTTTCTTAACTTTCGATGTTCAGATGATGCGTGTGAGAGATTTCTAGACTTTAGCAAACGTGTAAAAATTTTGTCACCTTGTTTATTGAAAACAATTCACCTTTCACTTTTCTGCTGTGTTGTACAAACCTACGTTGTTCAAATCCGACGGTACAAAATGTTTAGGGAATATATTTATTCATTGTTATTAGTTTTGGCCAATAAATATATTCATTCTATTTGTATGAAATGGGCATAACACAGAAGAATGAAAGTAATGTCGATTTTCCAATACATTTATTGGATGTTTATCTGTGTTTCAAGATCTGAATACTAGTAAAGTCCTTGCTAATATATCGATTTTTCAATTGTTGCAAATGTAATTGATGTAAATAACACACGAACAACATAGGATGAAGAATTTAATTTTCTCTTTAACATGTCTATATACAACAAAGAAATGGCTTTTCAAAAAACCAAAACCAAAACCCTTTGAACAGGAAACTTGTACCCAGAAAAGTGCCTATAACATGCATTTATTGGATTATTCTTCTGTTACTGTAATTGCTAAAAACGAAGTATGTCGAAAATTATCCATTTATAACTGAAAGCTAGTATAACATTTCAGAATGTAAATATTGATTGTATATTATGTGTTTTAACATAGCGGCACGTCCAAATTTGGAAACATTCAAAATGTTTTCTCCTGATAAAATATTGACCTGAAATTATATTCCGTTTTCGTAATCTAAATTTAAAATGATACGGTGTAAAACTCATTCCAGTTTATTTACTGTTTAATCATACTGTATTTTAAACTTTTTTAAGACACCAGACAAATTTCCTGACCGTGGGCCTCGGGGTGCGTGAAATAGCGTAAGCGTATGCCCTAGACAAGTAGTCAGCTTGTTGCAGGACCCCTTGTGTTTAATCCCCAAGCGAACTTGGTACTCATTTTATCGACCCACTCAATAGATGAAATGCTGAGTTAATCTTGCCCAGCCTGGGCATCATACCTCGAACCTGTATTGCTGCTGGACAACGCGCCAGTCACTGCGCTACCGGACCTTGATCTATAATTATACATACATCAAAATCAACTGTTACTATCCATGAAAAATTATGTAAAGGTAAGCTCTTTTCTTCTGATGGAACTACCTACATAATGGTGCAAAAGATAATTTTTAAAAATAATTATCGAAAATGCGATATCAGGTTTTACAGGAAATGACATTATTTCAGGCAGCGTATTACCCTAATAATATAATGAAGGTGTCTTCGTTATACGATTTGGAGACTTATGGTAGAGCAAACGAAAAATCATGTTCTAAAGTAAGCAAAGATTATTTTATCGAAAATCCACTTGGTGTCGTAAAGAATCATTACCATTTTATATTTTGTAGGATGACAACATAAGTACTGAAGATAAGCTTTATCAACTGTCTAATAAGGGGGTGGACTGCTCGTCTAATAACGGCTTCACGCCCGCGAGGCATTGAATTAATGAAGTGGTCCAAAGCTTTTCGCTTTATAAGAAAGGACTGAAATTGCGTCAGCGGAGGTTATGGCTTAGTATCAACGCTTCTAAGGTTTGCCAAGCGCATTCTATTGAGTTCAAACCCAAGAAATACATCAACGTCTCCAAGCTTTATTGTTTCGTTTTAAACAACCAGTTCACGAGTGGGACTCGATGAGTTACGGCAGTGCCATAACCTGAATCCAGGGGCGTAGCTAGAGGGGGGCAAGGGGGCATCTGTCCCCGGGCGCAGAATCTAAGGGGCGCCAAACTGATGTTACGACATTTTAGAATTAAATGTTTTCCATCCTTGGCAAGCAGTAGGGTTCGCAAAATCTTCAGTTGTCCCTGGGCACTGAAAACCCTAGCTACGACTCTGCCTGAATCAGCGATAGCAATATGAGACAGGACTATAAACTATTACCTATAAATTATGTGATCCCTGTATATTTGTGCGGGAAAACTTAGTTTCTGACGGTCGTAAGAAGCATAAGCGAACTTTGTTGCTAGGCAAACGGACCTTAAGAAGCATAAACGAAATTTTGTTGCTAGACAACAAGACCTTGC